AATCGGATTTTGAAGTGGCATACCTCTAAATGTTTCTGGAGCGATTCTCTAAAAATCTGCATTCAAATTTAGAAAAATATTTTTTTTACATTTTTTTGTACTTTTTTTGTTGTGATGATGTGGAAATTCAAGAAAATGAAGAAATGTCCCAAGGCTGAAGTTCCAAACTCCATAACTCAACTTATCTTAATCGGATTTTGAAGTGGTATACCTTAAAATTTTTCTGGAGCGATTCTCTAAAAATCTGCATTCAAATTTAGAAAAATATTTTTTTTTACATTTTTTTGTAATTTTTTTGATGTGATGATGTTAGAATTCAAGAAAGTGAAGAAATGTCCCAAGGCTGAAGTTCCAAACTCCATAACTCAACTTATCTTAATCGGATTTTGAAGTGGCATACCTCTAAATGTTTCTGGAGCGATTCTCTAAAAATCTGCATTCAAATTTAGAAAAATATTTTTTTTACATTTTTTTGTACTTTTTTTGTTGTGATGATGTGGAAATTCAAGAAAATTAAGAAATGTCCCAAGGCTGAAGTTCTAAACTCCATAACTCAACTTATCTTAATCGGATTTTGAAGTGGCATACCTCTAAATGTTTCTGGAGCGATTCTCTAAAAATCTGCATTCAAATTTAGAAAAATATTTTTTTTACATTTTTTTGTACTTTTTTTGTTGTGATGATGTGGAAATTCAAGAAAATGAAGAAATGTCCCAAGGCTGAAGTTCCAAACTCCATAACTCAACTTATCTTAATCGGATTTTGAAGTGGTATACCTTAAAATTTTTCTGGAGCGATTCTCTAAAAATCTGCATTCAAATTTAGAAAAATATTTTTTTTACATTTTTTTGTAATTTTTTTGATGTGATGATGTTAGAATTCAAGAAAGTGAAGAAATGTCCCAAGGCTGAAGTTCCAAACTCCATAACTCAACTTAGCTTAATCGGATTTTGAAGTGGCATACCTCTAAATGTTTCTGGAGCGATTCTCTAAAAATCTGCATTCAAATTTAGAAAAATATTTTTTTTACATTTTTTTGTACTTTTTTTGTTGTGATGATGTGGAAATTCAAGAAAATTAAGAAATGTCCCAAGGCTGAAGTTCTAAACTCCATAACTCAACTTATCTTAATCGGATTTTGAAGTGGCATACCTCTAAATGTTTCTGGAGCGATTCTCTAAAAATCTGCATTCAAATTTAGAAAAATATTTTTTTTACATTTTTTTGTACTTTTTTTGTTGTGATGATGTGGAAATTCAAGAAAATGAAGAAATGTCCCAAGGCTGAAGTTCCAAACTCCATAACTCAACTTATCTTAATCGGATTTTGAAGTGGCATACCTCTAAATGTTTCTGGAGCGATTCTCTAAAAATCTGCATTCAAATTTAGAAAAATATTTTTTTTTAATTTTTTTGTAATTTTTTTGATGTGATGATGTTAGAATTCAAGAAAGTGAAGATATGTCCCAAGGCTGAAGTTCCAAACTCCATAACTCAACTTAGCTTAATCGGATTTTGAAGTGGCATACCTCTAAATGTTTCTGGAGCGATTCTCTAAAAATCTGCATTCAAATTTAGAAAAATATTTTTTTTACATTTTTTTGTACTTTTTTTGTTGTGATGATGTGGAAATTCAAGAAAATTAAGAAATGTCCCAAGGCTGAAGTTCTAAACTCCATAACTCAACTTATCTTAATCGGATTTTGAAGTGGCATACCTCTAAATGTTTCTGGAGCGATTCTCTAAAAATCTGCATTCAAATTTAGAAAAATATTTTTTTTACATTTTTTTGTACTTTTTTTGTTGTGATGATGTGGAAATTCAAGAAAATGAAGAAATGTCCCAAGGCTGAAGTTCCAAACTCCATAACTCAACTTATCTTAATCGGATTTTGAAGTGGTATACCTTAAAATTTTTCTGGAGCGATTCTCTAAAAATCTGCATTCAAATTTAGAAAAATATTTTTTTTACATTTTTTTGTACTTTTTTTGTTGTGATGATGTTAGAATTCAAGAAAATGAAGAAATGTCCCAAGGCTGAAGTTCCAAACTCCATAACTCAACTTATCTTAATCGGATTTTGAAGTGGCATACCTTTAAATGTTTCTGACGCGATTCTCTAAAAATCTGCATTCAAATTTAGAAATTTATTTTTTTTTACTCTTTTTGTAATTTTTTTTGATGTGATGATGTTAGAATTCAAGAAAGTTAAGAAATGTCCCAAGGCTGAAGTTTTAAACTCCATAACTCAACTTATCTTAATCGGATTTTGAAGTGGTATACCTTAAAATTTTTCTGGCGCGATTCTCTAAAAATCTGCATTCAAATTTAGAAAAATATTTTTTTTACATTTTTTTGTAATTTTTTTTATGTGATGATGTGGAAATTTAAGAAAGTGAAGAAATGTCCCAAGGCTGATGTTCCAAACTCCATAACTCAACTTATCTTAATCGGATTTTGAAGTGGCATACCTTTAAATGTTTCTGGCGCGATTCTCTAAAAATCTGCATTCAAATTTAGAAAAATATTTTTTTTACATTTTTTTGTAATTTTTTTTATGTGATGATGTGGAAATTCAAGAAAGTGAAGAAATGTCCCAAGGCTGAAGTTCCAAACTCCATAACTCAACTTATCTTAATCGGATTTTGAAGTGGCATACCTCTAAATGTTTCTGGCGCGATTCTCTAAAAATCTGCATTCAAATTTAGAAATTTTTTGAATCTAATTTTTTTGTAATTTTTCAGTATCGGTATGTCCACTTCCACTAGCAGAGTAACGGGTATCTGATAGTCGGGGAACTGGACTATAGCATTCCATCTTGTTTTTTTTTTTGAGAAGCGATTGTGACTTTCAAGGATTCACCACAAGTACTGTTTTTAAATACACATTTCCGATACCTGCAATCACAGAGGTCTTTCATGGCCTATTTGGCGGGGCTGTGACTTTAAGCACATTTCCATAGAACAACATGGTAACAATGCAGGACCAACGCAAATATCGAGAGGGAAACACGTGCAGGCGGCTCCCGAATGGCGACAATCATTACAAGGACGATGAGCATAAACAACAACAGCAGCAGCGTCCTGACAGACGGAAACGCAAACACAGGACTCGCACACTCACACTTACACTCTCAGTCACACTCACACTCACATGCACATTATTTACATGCCACAGCACGTGCGGCTATATTTGTGGCACCATTTGTAAAGCAGATACATATACATATGTATATATGCGGCACAAAAACTCCCACATTATGTCAAATGTTTTGTTTGTCCTTTATGGAAGTGGATATGTCAGCGCCAGTGGTTTTCGTCCTAGCAGCAGTACGTGCCTGTTGAATTGGCGCACCCACTGCCGAATAACTGGGATTTAGTTCGCATTTTTACTGGCCAATCGAGCACAAATTAAACCCGGCTCAGGAACCTGGCCAGAAGCACTCGTACAGCAATCGCTGGCTAAGCACTCCGGCGACCGTTTTCAACCTGAAGTTTTGTCCAGCTTAACTTGCAGCCAAAGTTTTTCGTTTTCTGGTAAGAGAGAAGTAAGCACAATTGGGTCAATACACAGCCAAATCGCTTGTGCTTGAGCCAGTGGGATTTGTTGGTAACAGGAAGGGGAAACAGCTAACAGCTAACAGAAATGGCTGAGAGCAAAACTAAGGAAACAGCAAAGGATACAGAGTGACACTACAAGAGCCACACAAGTAACTCCCAATTCCATGACTTTTTCAAGTTCGATTTCGTTAAGGCAGCAACATTGCGATAATTGATGTCTCGACATGGTTAATTATCCCTAAAGATGTTCAATCGTACATAAGATGCTCATTAGCCGCTTGCTTTGTGAATTTTATATCTTCACCTGTGACGTCTCAATAACTGACCGAGCCAACCAAGACTGTTCAATTATACTAATGATATTATTTCGCCATTACGCATACGCAGTGTGTGCGTCCAATGGATGGCAGCTCGTAAAATGCAGAGCAGGCATTAAGATATTATTTGTGGGCTTGCTCTATACGGCCAAGGCCGAGTGCAATTATTTGCAGAATACTTAGTTCAGTGCGGAGTGCTCTTCACATTCAAAATATTCAGTTAGCCAACGGAGTCTTCGGGCTGTATTGTGCTGTAGACTCGCACTCGTAATTTATCTAAGCAACGCATTCCCGACCGAAAATTTAAAGCCACAAAGTGTCAGACTTGACTGGCTGCGGCTGCTGCTGGCAATAAATCTTAAAGTTCATTAAAAAGTTTATTTATATTTCACCTGCTGTGTGCGAGCGAAGGAAGTCTGGCAAGTGTCAAAGAAATAAAAGCTCGAATTGCCGACAAATCTTTGTTAAGCTTGACCTTGACTGATGGCCCCTCATAAGAAGTCCTCTTAGGAAAAACCTGGAACACCCAGAAATAAATAACTTTTGTCCCGTTTAGTAGCAGTAATCAAGTTCTTCAGCGGGTACTTCAAGTGAATTGCGCATTAACATGTTTGTGAATAGTATATTTGCCATTTTTGTTTATTCATTAAAATCATAAGGTTTCAATTCAAATTGATATTTTAATTACTGCAATAGTACATGTAGTCACTTGGCGTGCAACATAAAAAATCGTTGCACATTTTTATCAATGAATGCCATTCTCCACTTCGTTAATTAACATGAAAATAAATAGAGGCAGAGAATCATCGCTGCATTTTTTATATGCATCCCAAAATATGTGCATTCACTAGCTTCATTCAACTAAAAAGTGTTTCGCCATTGAAGAGTCAACCAGAACGCCATCAAAAGGGAGCGCTCCAATAAGTTTGAATAGCACCACAGATGCATCCGTCTACATGCACAAATGTATCTGCATGTGGTGCTGGAGATTGCGCGGCTTCGGCCTTGCTTTTGTAATTGTTAACAATGAAGGAGGTGGCTTTGTGTTGTGTGGGGAGGTGTTTTATTCGGCTTTAATTAAGATCCGGCTGCCAGAGTCCATGTAGGACATGCATCGGACTGCACGCTAGCTGATTGCGAAATAACCAAGCTTATCACATCACAATTCAATCAGGAGTCCAGACACATGAATAACTTTATATATGAATCTGCGGAGCGATAAGCTGTTTTATACTGCAAGCAAATAAAAATACTATTACGTACCCAATGTTGATTACCTTCGCCAAGTCTGTAGAGTATATAAAAAAGGAACAGGCGATGATACCCAGTAAAAGTATGATGAAAAGGACCTTCCAGCGAAGATCAATCCGGTGTCGTTCTAGACTGGGCACCATTTAAAGTATTTTAATTTCATAGTTGATGGCATACTTACTCTCGCTAAATGCGAAACAATTGTTTTTACAAGGGAAAGCTGCTGCAAATTAGTTGAAGCTCAATGGGTAATGAATTCCGCCATTTCCGTGCAAGTTTCCGTATAGCCGGCAGCACTCAATCGCAACGGACGTCGTAGGAGGAGCACTCCCCAAAGTCCGACTCGAGGGTAAAGTACATGCCCACACCGATGGCGGAGACCACGAAGAGGACGCCCAGCCAGTAGACCAGACGCCAGAAGGGCCATGAGGTGGGGGGCTTCTTCTGGGGGCGGTCGGGTCTCACCTCCTCGTCGACCTCAACTCTTTGTGGTTGGCGGCGCAGCTTGTTTCCCATTTCCCTGGGCCTTTAACTTTCTGTACGAATTTTGCCCCCTTTGGGCGATAATTGATTGGATTTTCCCTAGCAACTCGACAGCAACCGAATGATAACATTTTATTGAAATTACTTGAGCATCTCGTAGGCTGAGATTCATCTCCGATGGCAAAAACTTCTGGCTAATTATTTAAGTTAATTGGCCTTTGTCCGCAGAAGGCCTGCCCGGGCAATGATGGTGATGATGATGATGATGATGATGGGGTGGTTAGAATTGGCCTGAAATATTTGCTCGGAGGCCACAAAATGTCTCGCAAATTTGTTCAAATTACTTGGAACACAAAACAAGAGTCGTCCGCCACTCTTCGAGATCCTTGCTGGCCGAGGTCCATGCATAAATTTTGAGAGAAGGAGGTCCTGGGCGGAATACAAAAGGACTTTGTTTGCGGTCGACAGATGAAAAGTCATTTCTCTCCATTATTTGCCATCTAATTGGTTGTAGGACTTGTGCATTTATGTTGCTTAAATGTTTGCCCAAAGAACTCTGGAATTTGGTGAGGTGTCAAGTGGGTCTGCCATCATCATCATGCTGACCTCTTGCTGTCTCAATTAAATGGTCAAATGGCCAAATGGCCAAATGGCCAAATGGCCAAATTGACCAAATGAAGGATGCAACTTAATAATGCCATTCCGTAGAAGCGCACACATACAATGCCAGTTGAGCATGCCGTAGATCTTATTCTTGCCATGATTTAAGTGCGTTTCGACCGGCTTTTTGCCAGTTTTCCCCCGTGGCTGTATCCTTTTGGTGTGCTGGCGATGCCATTACTGCTTCAATTTCAGTTTCTGTTTGATGTTAATGAAAGTTTCCGTCGTGCAAATAAAGCCAAAAGCATGGAAATCAGTAAAACAAATTGCAATCTGCTTTTTATCGCACGTCGCTGCATGACTGCTGGCAGCCGGCATTTTCCTTGCTCCGTCATCGATTGCCTGGCTTTTCCCTCGACTTTTCCCTTTGCTGTCCCGCCTGGCTATTGACTTGCTCATTATGGCCCTGAATGATGACTGCTCTTGCTCTTGCCACAGCTACCGTTCTTGTATCTGTATCCGTGTGCTTTGGTTCCGTTCTGTTTCGTATCGTTTTCCATTTTCCTGCAAGGAGCATAGATCTCTTCATTCCGCACCCGTAGAGTTGGCTCGTGGGTCGGCAATCAGAGCGGCATAAATTGTTAATATATCTTAACGGATATTCAATTTCCGTCAACCAAGAAATGCATTAAATTGGTAACAAAGCTAAGCCGCTTCAACCGAACGATGGCAAAATTGTTAAGCTCCAGCGGGGTATTATTAAAAATTCAAAGTCGTTAGAGAATGGCAAAACTTTGTGCAGTCCGGGCCAAGACATAATAATAATATAGAGCCCGAGTGGAAGGACTGAAAAATAAAGAATGGCCAGGACAATGGGGAGACAACAGGCCAAACTATGAACTCGGAAACTGGATAACTGTGAGAGTGGGAAACTGCGAAACTGGGAAACTGGGAAACTGCGAAGCTGAGATGCGAGATGCCGAGAAGCTCAACTATGCCCAAGTTGGCTGTCCGACTGTTTATTTTCACTAGACTTCCTCTTTCTCTGGGCCTCGGCCCATCATCTGCATGGCCTTGGGGTGGGTGAAAAGTGGGCGGTGGTGGCGGTAAGTGGGCGGTGCAGATGGCAGGACGAGCAGGCAAGTTGTCAACTAAGTTTGCAACAATAATCGCCAACTTCACAGGAGCTGGAGTGACAGAGCTGAGGCGGCATCACCAGCATCAGCAGCATCAGCAGCGGCAAGCTTTCAGATAAAAACCAGAAAACAATAAGACTCTAGGCCGACTTTTATTCAGTCTTTTCAAAGTTCTCCACCTCTGGCACTGCAGCGTTTACCCTCGAAAAAGCAAAGGTCCTCAAAAGGAGCAAACAGCAGCAAATAGGCTGTACTGGCAAGGATCTCTTCAGACTTTCGAGACGTGGCACAAAGGAAAGATTGCTTTTGCTTTTTGTTTGCTAGCCGAGTGCAGATTAAGAAGGATTCAGAGGGTGTGGGTAGTGTATACCACCAGGTTGATGTGTGCCTGTGGCATAGTTTTCCTTGGAATCAGGTATTTGAATAACTCATACATGGCCTTTTTAATCTAATATAAATGTCGCTTTTAATTGGCAAATATTATAAACGGCTCAAAGTAGGTTATGTGGTGAAAGAGACTTGCAACTCACCTTTGGGCCAAAATCCGATTGACAATTATTAACAATCGTTTTAATTTGAAACACTGCTAATGACATTTATACATACGTGCCATAACTATTAAAGAATTAAAAGCAAAATAATTATGCGCCCATATATACATACACGTATGTATAACAAAAATTGAAGTGAAATTGCAGTTGATATAAAAAGTTTTCAAATTAAATAAATCAGTTGTTAATTTTAAAATACCCAAAGCGTAGGTTCGCTCCGGACTCGCTATCAAGCATAATCCCATTTAATTAAATAAATCTGTTAGCCAACTTTTTGCTCCGCCGAACTATTGAATTAGCCGCCTCGCCGGGGGCGTTTGAAAACGTCTATCCAAATTCTGGCATTGTCGTGCTGGCGCTCAAAAAAGCGCAAACGAACTGGCTGGATAGTGTGCGTGGCATATGTAAATTTGGAGCTAATTAAAATTAGCATATATTTCCCCTTTTCACATGTATATATGCGTATGTGCCTACATAGGGGGTGGTGGGGCCCATTATCTGGCTGCGCCGCAAGAAGACGTGGAAAACTACGCGCTCAGAGCTGATTAAAAGCGAAAGCTAACAAGCGTTTGCTCTTTGCCCCCCGTGTGGCCCCGCAGCATATGGGTCCTGACCCCACACCCCCAAAAACTGCACCCACTTTGCCAGGGGGGTTTTCTGTGTCATTTTGGCTCCGCATTAGGGTCGTAAAAATTTATTGTAACTTTTTTCAGGGCGCCCATGTCTGAGGCAAGGGGCTTAAGGCATTATGCCTTTTAATTAAACCGTTGAGATGTGTGTCAGCCGTATAATAAAATGGAACGGAGTATAACTTTGCATGCATATGCCATATATATACATATATATGCTATAGATGTGTATAATCGTTTAAATTGTTGTTCCCTCAGTGGTTGAGCTGGCTTTGGTCGATTACAAGGCTTCGTATTAATTATGATAATTATGTGTAAGCGCTGGTTGGCATTTTAATTGCGCATACGCCATGCTGCACATTCCATAAAAAATGCATCCAAAAGGAAAAAGGAAGACCAAAATCGAGGCTACATCTGAAACAAGAGCGCCATATAATTTCATAATGAAAATCTTGTGAATAACAAAATTTAAAATTGCAAAATCCCCTAGAGCAGCACGCATCAATTCGTAGCTGAGTTCACTTGGCTTGTTTTTGGCGGATGCATTGTCCTCGCTTAAGTCCTTTGTTAATTGCCGGAAATGCAAATGGGTGGCTCTGTCGAGCAGAAATGATTTCCACTTTAAATGCGTGCGAACCGCTGCTCGATTTTACCATTTATTTACATTGGAGGTGAGCCAGTTTCCTTTTTGGGCCCCACTTTGCACGCAATTTTCATTTCTTTGTCCATCGTTTGTGCCTTTTTTTAACTTGGCTGGGACAACAATTCGCTTTGGCTTCACACCAAATTTGATTTCATTCGCAAGACGCTCTCAGGTTAAATGGTGCAGAAAGTCCTGTTGACTTCTCGACTGGCTGACCGACCCCAAGTAGAATCTCGAAATGAATTTAAAAGCCCCTTTGGTGAGCGCTAAAAAGTGTGTTTCCCATATTATCCACAGCTTATACAAATACAGTAGCCTGTTGAGTAGTTTTGGCCGTATTAGCAACGGGGTTCTGCTGGTGTATTTATTCGCATCTTGAAATCGAAATGAAAAACCAAATGAATCGGATCATCGTATAAATTTCATCTTTTTTCTGAGTAAGCAATCGAATGGCCAAATCCCGTTTGTTGTATCTCAATAAATAAATGTCACGAGCTCTACATACCAATGCCCTCCATTCGCTGTCAATTTGTATGCTCTCTAGCGCATTTGCATAACAAAATTGCCATGCATTTCCCATTCCATTCCGATTTTGTGAGTTTTTCCCCACTTTTTTTATTTTTTTTTTTTTTTTTGGTTGAGCCCGCACTTTGAACTTTTGAACGCAGACCAAGTCAGTTATCCATTTGCAGCTCAGCAAGTTTTGACTGCAGAATGTCAACAAAATAAATGCATAAATAAGGGGATCATCGTGTCAGGGGGAGGCACAGCCACGCCCCCTCGAAGAGGTCTCAATATAACGAGATGATGAAAAATGTTTGAGTTTTGCATTATTAAAGTTCTTCGCTGGCAGTTGGCAACTTTTCACGTGCTGATAAATGGCCCCCAGCTCTCGCAGTTGGTGGAAACGAAATGAAACGAAATAGAACGATAACTATTCCATTTGCACTCCGGGTGCGAACATCTTTCAATTGAAATATATCTCCATTCTCCGCCGGCTATCCACATATAAAAACATATATAACTATATATGTATGTGTGGATACATATGTGTTCGTGTGAATGGAAGTGGAATAACTAGTGCATACTATCTGGGGCTGCCAGGGGGAAATCCGGGAAATCGTGCAATTTAAAGTCTTCTTGATTTAGTTTGGTCTGGCACTTGTAATTAATTAAACATGGATTTTCTTGAACATCCCCCGAAAGTCCATTAAAAAGATTGCCTTATCCGTTCGGGTTTTTCTTTTCACATCAATCCATTTATTGTAAAATACGCCGGTCTAAGGGCCAAGCTTTCTGTTTTTTCTTTTTTAGTTAGCTTAACTTACTGGACATAAAATTAATGTATACATAATATAGTTCATAACTTACTGGCTAAATGCATTATTAGCTCTCATGGTTTTTGCCCTTCGCTCACTTCATTTGTTCGTTTTATTTATTTTTGGTATATGCAAAACTGCAGAAAATAGTATTCAGTTTCTTGAGTTCGTAAAAACTTGCATATGATCTGTTTCTATTTCTGACTTGATCTCTTTGGCATGCGACTCCATGGGTTGGTTTAGGGAAATCGTTTGGTTTTGGACTGAAGCAGCTATTTAGTAAGCAGGAAAACGGATGCGTATACCCTATTATATTGTACAACAATTACAAGTACATTTACCAACGCTAAACTAAGAATTGTATACTTCATATGACTGATATGGTGACTTAGGCTAGAAAGTTCTCTTCCTCGCGCTCCTTTTTGTATATTTATTATTTGTCTGAGATGAGCCTAATCGAGATTAGGCCTCTTACATGTTACAACTAGTTAAGTTTGTGTTTTAGTTTTCGGGACAGGACGATTATATCTAGACATTAACTCTGCACTCACTAAACTGATATGCTCTCTCTCTCTCTGTCTCTCTCTAACCATCTCTCCGTCTCTTTTGCTCCCGCTTTAGTTTTTCTTTTGCTACCGCGGAACTTAAGCCTCTATGAGATCTTCTTGAAAGACCAAAGAATTGAATATTTATACGGGTGAAACGAGGCTGGCAGCTGCCAACTAAATTACGCATACGCCTAGTGTACTCTAAGGCCAGAGTAAGCTCCATTTGAAAGATTAATGCTACAACTTATGCGCTGAGTATTTACAACGGGGTGGGCGGAGTGGGGGAGGGGCCTTCGACACTCGTTTTTCCCTTTATTTTATACACTTATCTAACGATCTCTTAGATCCAACTCCCACAGACAAACAGTGGACTCCCAACTATAGTAGGCATGGCTCTGGTGGTTCACTGTAGCGGTTTTCATCCCCTCGGTTTAACGGCGGGATCAGCTCACTTACGCCTGCCCGGCGGCCACGAACTGGACCACAATGTTGTTGGTTTTCGGCGTCGTTGCCGTCGCCGGCGCTGCTGTTGCTGTTGTTGTTGCACCGCTCGACGGCGCAGCATCAGCAGGCGAACCGGAAACGGAAACGGAAGCAAAGGCGCCACTGGCACTGCCACTGGCACTGCCACTAGCACTGGCAATCGCCTGGCACTCAACGGCGGGCAGGCGCTTGACCAGCATCCGGCTTGACTTGACCGCTATCCATTCGTTGCGAGCGGCATCGAACCAAGTCAGGCCCAGATTGTATCGCCCATTGAGATTGGCGTGCTGGCAATGAGAGAACCACCAGCCACCCTCATAGTTAGCAGCACAGTGCGTCTGCGAGATGTCCCGATCGTCATCGATGGCCGAGAACTGCATGCCCTGTTGGTAGTTCAGTGCATCCGATGCGTTTCCAGAGTACTCGGCAATGTGCAGCCGATAGCCGTCGGCACGCGAGGATATGTAGAACCGCTTGTACTCGGCCACCCAAACGTTGTCGTAAATGTCCTGCATTTGCACCTGCAGCCGGCTGCAGTTGTCCAGGGTCAGGTGATGCAGCTGCTCGTTGCCAATCCAGAACTCTCCGCCAGGCGCACCAAATCCTTGGGCATAGTCCGCCCACGAGCGGTTGAAGTCGGCACTGCCATCGAATCGCCTTTGCACCGTCGTCCAACCATCGGCGGTGCAGTGCGTCATCAGCGGATGCCGTTGGCCGGCGGGCGCAATCAGATGCAGTCCGTCAGTTTGGGTGTGCACCTCGCTGCAGTCGTGCGGCAGCTTGTTGATGATGGCCTCGTACTGGGTCTCCACGTTCTCCAGCTCGCTGACCAGCGTTTCGGCCAGGACGGAGTCAATGGGGGTATCATCCTGCGGCGTCTGTGGCTGGAGATTCTGATGATGCGGTCGCTTGTGGGGCTTGTTCAGGTGGGTGAGCTGTGTGAGAGACCGGGAATAATTGGAAATCTCGGTTAGCCAGGGCCAGTCTTAAAGAACTTAAATTAGGCTTCAAAAGTTTTATGATTTAATAAAGAGTAAGTCTTTCAAATTGACCACTAGATACAAGGAGCTACAAATCTAGTCATCACTCACCTTATTCTTCAACTCATCATTGACCAACGACTGCAATCGGTCCACATTGGTTCTCAGCTGATCCACGTTCGCAGACAACTTCCGCATCCCTTCGCGCTCCTCCTGCAGGACACTCACGCTCACAGCCATGGCTTGCAAGGATCGCGCCGCATTGGTGCCCTCCTCCCTGATCAGGCTCTGCTCCGACGTGATCTGGGCATTGGCGAACTCCAGCTTGGAGATCTCGTGCCGCAGCTCCGGGATGCTCTTGTCCATCTTGGTCTGCAGGCCCTCCACATCCTCCAGCAGCTCCAGCATCGAGGTGTGCAGCTTGTCCAGCGAAGCGATCTGGCTGCTCAGGTTGAAGTTGGCATTGGCGATCCTGTGCTGCTCCACCTCGATGCTACGGACCCGCTCGTCGATGTGATGGAACCGCAAGCCGTTCACCTGGCGGCGCAGGTTCCTCTGGGCCAGTTGCAGCTGGTGGATCTGCTCGCTCTGGAAACGGCAATGGCGGCGTTTGTGATCAGCCGTGGATTCAAGTTGAGTGGCCTGAAAGGAACATAAGGTAACAATAGAAACTTATTACATAAACAAATATGTAGGATAGCTTATGCACTCAAAAAAGTTGAATATCTTTGTTGTAAGAAATGTTAAGTAAGCATCCCAAGTTTTAGGTTGCGTCAAATGAAAAATTGCAAGTCAAGGCATCAAAAGTGAGACTCCTCTTGGCGAAAGCTGACCCCAGCACCACCCACTTTTCATTACATTCCGCAGTATAAGGAAAAGCCATGATAAGGATGATTCGTGGGGAAAGCTGGTAAGCTGGCTGAGATTCTATTGTTGCTGCGCTGGCTGGGATTATGTGCCGGGAATTGAATGCTAAATCCATTTATTATAAATGCATTTCATAACCAGGCAGGCGGAGCGTGCCACAATAATGTCAGCTGCAGCTACGCAGGCAGCTCAAGCTGCAGCTTTTGCCCAAAAGCGTGTAAATCCCCGGAGCTGCTTGGTGCCGCGTGGCGTGGGTGGATTTGCATCCACATCCACATCCACATCCACATCCGCATGCCCAACCCCATCCGTATCCATAGCCCCACCGTGCATCTCCTGGCTCTCGGTGGTAAAAGCTGCATAAATTTCCACAAACATACAATATGCATAGAAATAATTTTGCTGAGTGACAGCAGCGAGCAGCTGTAAACCAAGGTAATGCCATTTGGGTCACATTCAGCCGGTGCCGTGAATGAGTGTGCCCCACCGCCGCAGGATCTATTCTACGTATCTGCCACCCCAGGGTATCCTTTCATTTATGTTCGTGGCCATCTGTCATAGAAATGTCCTGGGTAATTGACTAATAAAGGATGCTGCCGGGGACGAAAAGCGGCAGAAAGTGTCCTGCTAATGAATTCAATGAGATGGATGCGCAAGGATACCATGATGTATAGGATGATCAAAAAAGGGGGCCAACAGCATAAAAATAAAAGCAATTATGCCCTTTTCTTGAACGCCTTTGAATGGTAAATTGTACTTTTCTTTTTCATTCTAATCCCAATTAGTCAACCTTGAATGTTCTACATTTTCCAATTAGGAGAATGCAAAACAATGCTAAGCGAAAAGGAAAATCGTAAGTCGATTTCAAAGATTTTGTTATTTCTAGAAACCCCTAAATCGATTCACAATTTGACTTACTTCCAAAGAGTCGATAGCGCATTATATTCTCCGAAGTTTTTGACCATTTTCCGCAACGAATTCAATTATTCTTTGCGAAAAAAAGCCAACAAAAAAGCACCGAAAATATGGAAAACATTCATGAATATTTATGCAAAAGTTGCGTTTGTGCCTCATCGGCATCGAACACTTTGGGCCGCTGTGAAAATGTTTTCATTGGTGCCGCAGCCAGTGCTTTTCCCGCTTTTCCCGCTTTTCCTTCGCTCCTTTGTTTGCTTTTCCTTCACGCACGTTTCGCTGGTGCAGTGGGTGGTTGGTCGGTGGGCGGTGGGCGGTCGAGTGGGTGGCGGTGGCTCAGCCTTGGCGTTGTTTTATGCGAAAGGTCACGAACGCGGCTAATACGACACGTTCGCGTTTTATATGAACTCTGGCCGAGACGGGGAAGTGGCCATCAAAACGGAGAAATCCTCAATATATATTCGGGCAAACGTGTTTGCTATTGTGGTGAATATACATATATATTCCAAAGGCGGAAAGGTGCCAGCACTGGCATATAAATTTCGCCCATCAACGGTATAATTAAATGTGATTTATGTGGCTCAAATTTCCCGCCATGGAGACAAGTGAATTTTTTTTTTTTTCCGTTCAATGGCCAGTGGCCGCGTTAATTGAAATCGAAATTGAAGCATAAATATTTCAAGTGTTTTCCGTGCAAAGTCATAAACAAAAGGATCAGAGCGGGAACATTAACATCGGAAGCATCAGGAGCAGGGAACTAATTAATTTTTGGGCTGGCCGTTCTGCTCCATGGATTAAAAGTGAACATTTTACATGTTGTACTTAAGTGAAAGCTAACAAGGATTTGCTATTAGCGCGACAGCAATTCCAGCAAGGATGGGGCTGGAAAATGGGAACGGGGTTTTGGGGATGCAGCATGGCGCATGGGGCATGGGGCATGGGGCATGGAGCATGGAGCATAGGGAAAAGAGAAAAAATCTGCTCCTGTTCAGTTGCCGGGCTTCTCCACGGCGCATTGTCGTAAAAATTTAATAGGACTTTTGTGCGATGCTTGAAAAAGTTGCGCTTACTGGATGATAGGAGAAGTAGGGCTGGCTGAGTCGTCGTTGGGCGCCACAAAATGCCATTAAGTTAATGCGCATTTGGGGGGGCCAAAAACGCTCGTTGTCGGGACCTCAAAGTCAACGTCAACCTGATCCTCAGGCCGAAATGTGGCAGGCGTGTGCATAATTTGAAACTAAAGTGTAGCCCACAAATATGCTTCAAAAGCGTATTTAATTTCCACGAAAAAGCTGGAAATCTAAGGAAAGGACAATTGTTTCAATAACGACAACTTGACTCCTGAGCAGTGTATTCTGCCGATACAAAGGGTAGAAACCAGTTCGACAACAATCAAACAAATTGCCAGTGGAGAGATGGTGGTACGTAACATGAAACAAAGGCAAAACAAATATCAACATAAATAAGGTAAAAATGGCAGGCACTGCGGGGAGTTTGGCGGGGTGGGGGTATGAAAACAGACATGTAGACATACAGACGTACAAAGATATCTGAAACCGGATTCTCCGTGTCAGTTTGCCTTGGGGCTGCTGCCATAGCTCCTGCTCCTGCTCCTCGATTCCTTCGTTTTCTGGCTACCGTTGTGTGCCTGGCATTTGTTTGCCTTGCTAATTTAACAGCCAGTCCCTCATATGTACAATACTCTACGCCCCCGTCCCGGAACCCCGGCTCAAGATATGGTAGCATCAATAACCAATGATAAACATTTGTGCTTTTCCCTCTTTCGGCTCGAATATCAGGCCCAACTGTTGCAAGTGACAGCATTCATCAAAGCGATTTGTTACACAGAACGGGCCAGCACATATGTATTGTATACGCGTATGTATATGCATATAAGTATTCGGTTTTATATCAGGGGGCATCAATCTGCCGACTGCTTGCAATTAGAGTTGGCAAATTATATTTGGCTTTTCCCTTGTCACCGGCAGATGTTTTTGGTTCAAGTGTTATCACAACTGAGCAGGGAAATAAATACATAAAGCAAAGTGTAGATATGCCCATTAAATCAAGGTTATTCGGGCTAATTTATCAAGGTGCATTAAATTAGTGTTTGTTCGGGTGAGTTATTATGGCTATATATGAAAATAACAAATCTGAAATCTGAAATCTCAACATTAAAGCTTAAGCTGCCAAGAGAAAAGCCAAAAAATGCTCTCCAATTCGTAGAGGAGGAATAGTATCTCCATGGTAACTTTTACCTACTTGTGCACCATTTTTATTTATTATTTTTAATTTTAGCATTTCCGCCAGCAATTTTTGTGAATTCACTGTCTCTGGTTTTCGTTTAATACCCCAAGGTTTTTTCGGTTTTTGCATAACTTTGCTTTGGCTTTGTACATTTTTGCGGGCTAATCAAATAAAGGAAATTTGATTAAATTCAACCATCCACTCACGCAAGCACACACACACATACACACACAGAGAAAGGAAATTATTGTCTATTTTTTGGTATTACTTTTTCGTGGCTGCCACCTGTGCAGTTTTATTGTTTGTATCTGTATTTATTTTGCTGCTGGTTATCCTTGAGATGGTTGCCTTTTTCCATCTGCCCCTTTCATTTTGGCTGCCTGGCCTTTGTTATCTGCTTTCTGCTCTTTGTTCTAATTTAACCTAATTTCTGCTTTGCTGCGCTTCTATAATAACAATTTTCAAAAATTGCTTTTGGTTTTTGTGATGAGAAAGTTCAGGAACTGGTTTCTTGGTCAAAAAGCGCCCCCATACCGCCGGCTTTGTTTTTTGTTTTGTTTTTTTTTTTTGGTGGGAAAGAAACCAGCGAGACAGAGTGAAAAAAGTAATGAAAAGGATCAAATTGTGGCGAAGTGGCGCGTTGGGGCAGCAAGGCAGGTGGCAGGTGGCAGGGAAACTGATTATCGGAGCACTCGAGAGCATCTGCCGCAGCTCCATCTACCAGTGGACAGCTCCAACTCCTGCTGCTGACTGCCAAAACTTGGCAAGTCGAGAGACAAAGGCCTGCTCCTCCTGCGCGGCCTGTCCATCAAGTCAAGAAGTCGGCCTAAGCCAGTTCCCAAAAGCAGCTGGCCATTGAATAGCAATCCCCCGCCTCTCCTTGACTCGGGGCGATTAAAAGGTGATTTCCTGCTTTTGTTTTGCAATTTTCAGCAATTTCGCTTTATATTTCGGCAACGGCCTGCCCATTAATGCTTTGCTATATATAAACATATATGTATCAACATGCTGGGATGCGAGGATATATGGATAACAGTATGTGATGCGTGTGCGCCAAGGTCCGGCGAAAGCCGCTTAAGCTGCTTGGCTGAGCACTTAATCCCCTCCTTGTACTTAAGGAGTCTCAAGGGTATATTGGACCTGCGTGAAGTGGAGGTTGACCATGGTGAATTGATCTCAGGGGAAGCGGTTTGAATTACTGAAGCCTTATGGACCTCTGAATTAATTGAAATTATCCCTGAGCTTCTCTAGTTCATATTTAAAGGATACACATATTCCTAGCGACTCTTGTGCTTGAATATTTGCTTCGCGTTTTTATTTTTAGCCAAAGCCACAGCCCGAAGTCGAAACGTTGTATTTTTCCTCTGAATTCCCCCAAATATTCTTAAATTTCTATTTCGCCCTTTGAGACTCGCAAGTAATTGCGTCAGCTCGTCGAAATTTCTCAGCTTTGTGGTCGGGCGCAGCACATATACAATTTCCAGCCAAGCAAGTGAACTCCCTGGCAAGAAGTGTACACAATCTGCTTCTAAGCAAGCAAATTTCGCTTAAGCCAAACTTCAAAGAGGAGCGAAACGACTGAACAACGCTGGAGGAACGGCAGCCAGCGAACAGCAACCAGTAACCAGATCAAAACAGGTGGCTGCCAAACCAGTTTTAGGGCCCCACTGACATATTTCGTTGATGGTCGAACGACGCTGCCGCATTCTCATATTGGAGCGGTCTGACGCATAATCCTTTTAATGAAGCAACCTGGAGCTTGTTACCTGGCTGCCTTTCCATCGCCATGGCTGCCCCTCGCCAGCTGCCTTTGTTTTCACTCCATTGTTGAGGTTGCTGCTGCAGCAAGCTCTTTATTGACATTAATTATAATTAAGAAGGCGGAAGGGTGTCGGGTCCTGCCCACCCGGCACTTGGGATGTGGTAGCATACGAGTCGGAGTCCAGGTCCTAGTCCTTCATATGCAGATCCGATTTCCAGAACTCAACATCATTCACTGTAAGCCCGACACGAGAGCCCTGGTAAGTATGCTGGGATTTTGACGAAAGGATGCCACTGATCATGGCTCCATCATTTGCGGCAATCTCTTTACGAGTCGCCGGAGGGCCAGGACATTAAGGCATTGAACGTGAGGCCTAAGTGGCTGTCAGGGACGGTCGAGTCTGGCATTAAATATTAAATACGACAACGTCCTGCGGTGCGTATGAGTAATTTGGCCAACATGTGTGTGCGTGTGTGTGTGTGGCGGGCCGTTAAAACGGCGGGGCAAAAGGCGAATTGCGATTTTGTACCCCCTCGTTAGCACATCGTGCCGCCCACGCCCACCGCCCACCGCCCACCTCCATCTGCCACAACCTTTGCCGCTCTTCACCTGGCGGAGGGCTTGGCGTATAAAGTAAGGCATAAAACGGCCAGATAATGGCCCGCCACGTTGGTGGCCGCTTTATGGGACGCACTTAAAGGAGAAACAAAACAAACCAGCGGCTTTCTTTCGGGGCTCATAAAAAGATACACTGGCAGAAGCAGCGCGATGCTTTGCGCCTTCTTTAATTAGTAATTCCTACCAATTTCAGTGACAACACACACGCAATCAACGATGAGTGGAAATGTTCCTATTGAATATTTTAGCTTTCAACTGTTTGCCGCTGCTAATTTGTTTCTCTAGTTTTTTTTGCCAGTGCCTGACTGTTTTACCTTGGCCCTCGCGTGCTTATCTGATGATTAGCATAAAGCCGGTACTCACCTCCTGGTTGGCTTCCTGGCTACCGCTCTCCACCTCCACGCTGGCGGAAGTGGCGTCCTTGCGAGTCCTCTGCTGCAGCTTGACGAGGGCGTGCTGGAAGTCCTGCTCCTGCTGGACCATCTCCTCGCGGAGTTCCTGGACGTAGACCTCCGTCTGCTGCTGGCGCTCCCGCTGGGCGGCCAGATCCAACTTGAGCTGCTCGTAGTCACTGCGGATGGTGGCCAGATCCTCGAAGGTGGAGCTGCGCTGCTGCGCATCCCGGGCCACGTTGCCCGCCGTCCTTTGCAGATCCACCAGCTGCTTGCGGATCTCGGAGATCGTCTGCTGCAGCCACTCGACGGTCAAGCGCTCCTTGTTGCCACTCTGCGAGGAGCGCAGCGCGGCCAGCTCCTCTCTGGAATGGAGGAAATTAATAAGTTTCTAATTAGCAGGGAACAGGTAACGCTTTAATTGCTACACTCTGGTCGCATCGGGTCGGGGGTCGGGAAATCTAATTTAAATTGACATTTTCGGGCTGTCGGCTAACTTAATTGCCAATGCGGCTGGCGTGCGGTCCACTAATGGGATTTCGACCTGCACTCAATCATGCTCTAGCCCCACCTCGCTACCGCTAAAGTTCCATTGACCATTTAAATTAAGCTGTGCGAGATTATTTCAGCAGCCCGGAACATTGTCGGCAAACGGGAAACACAGAAATCATGCGGACAGAAATTCACAAATGGCGTTGGCAAACTTTGGAAAACCGGAAAACATACAAAATAAAAAATCAAGTGCGACCAGACCGCATACAACAAGTGCTGGGTGAAAACGTTGCTTAAATGCTGAGAACGAGAACGAAATGAAAATGAAAATGTTGTAGCACTTGTGGCAGTTGGCAGATACCAAAAATAAGAGCACAATGAGGACCAAGACCGAACGAAACGCATTTTTGTGGCATTTCAGACAATTAAAGTAGTCAGTTGGAAGGAAGCGGAAACGGAAACGGAAGCACAGCCGCAAGAAGCTGAACAAATTCGGGGCGTAGGTAAAAAGTTTTGTTTTTCGAGAGGCAGCCGAGCCGAGCAGAGCAGCTGGCGCTGTTCTTTTATTTTTCACTGTCAAAAGAGCAGAGCTACATGAAATTTTCATAAAGAAAAACCCAACCGGCAACAAGACAAAAATAAAGTGGTCCAAAGAAAAGTTGTGTTCTACTTCTCCTGACTACTGCTCCAAAAATTGTACATATACATCACATTCGGTTAGGTTTTTTATGCATGCCAGCCTGCGTATGCGTAATATTTCAAATTGTTGCACTGTGCGTGGGCGTTTATTGTTAATTTTATGGCTTGCAAAAGTTTCTGTGGTCCCAACCAGACAGACTATGAAAAGTTATGGATTTGTTTGGCTCTCCGTTTTCCATACAATTACTTAAATATTTAATTAAAACAGGGCGGGCGGGGCAAAAGTTTGGGGCATCAAAAGCCGTAACTGACCCAGGACTACCGAAAGTACAAAGTAAACATGTATATCCAAACATTTGGTATGGCAAATACTCGTCGAATAAAAATGTGTTTTCTAGCACGGGGCTGAACAACTTGCATTACGAGCTTTAAAAAAAGTAACGATTTCTAGCCCTGCCCATTGGCAACTTTTGTAGTAATGCCAAACCAACCGAATTTCCCTTTTCGCCTGGCAATTTTTCGCTTGGCTGCCGTACAGCTTTTTCCGACACAAAAAACTGACTGTCATTCAACGGAAAATTGAAAATGCTGTCAATGACAAGCGAGCAAATTGAAAACGCAACATGAACACTGCAGATGCCGAACTTCATCGGACCTGATTTGATGACGTCTGATGGTGTTCGCATCTGGATTTTCCTACTTTTTTTTCCAGTTTAATTACCAAATTGGACGCCGCGGTGTAACTTTTGGAAGCGAATCTTGTTATCAAATCAACGGAGTGGACCTGCCCAACACGCCATTCTGCTCAATCAGATAATGATGTTGTCCGACTGAGCGGAGGCTAAAGCTGATCCAGGTGGGCGGAAAGTGGGCGGGCAGTGGGCGTTAGGTGGGCGTGAATGTCGGTCGAAGGTACTGTGGTTGGCTTGGTCGGTGTGGGCGGCGGAGATAGTGGATCACATAAACCACAACTGACATGACGTTTGACTGGCGTTTGCCTTGGGAGTTGGCAGTTGGGAGCTCCATCTCGTCCTCCACGGACAAGTCCCTACTGCTAAACACACTCCTCATATGTATATGGAGTGTATAAACACGAGCGTGTGCTGAATTATTTACGGTGTCACTGACAAAGTTTACGATGTCCACGACAGCAACAGCAACAACAACGGACTAACCTTGGCTATTTGTTCAGTAAATTAAGAGTGTGCCATTTTTACGTATGTGTATTTTTTACGCTGCCACAGAAGATGGTATCCTTCTGGCAGTGGGCAGTGGGCGGTGGGCAGTGGGTGGTGGTGAAACTGATATATGTGTGCGTTCAGCTCGATGAGACAATCATTATTAGTCAGCCCATGACAATGACAACAGAACAAATCACGAATGCTACGCAAACTTGGGCTGGGCCACTGGCTCGTGTCTTGGCTCTGATTAGATGTCTTATCCAGCCGCTGCCAGCGTTTCCCCATCACATATTTGTCTGAATTAGTGGAGCACAATCATGTGCCGCATAGGAATTCGCTTCTTCATTGCACTGGCCTCGAATGAAAAAGTTGAAGGAGTCGCAAAATTGGTAGAAAAACTGTACTGAACTTTTCTCTATCACAACAGTCGCAAATTATTGCAAGCCTTGTCAAGGGAAGATGGAAAAGCAATGATAACATGAGAGAACGCTGGAATGGAGTGTGACGACTGTCGGATACCCATTACTGAAGTAAGGGAGTGCTAGATAGCTAGATAGCTAGATATCGCTCTAGATAGCGCGAATTCCAAACTAAAAATCAAAGCATTTTACATAGGAATACGGAAGTGTTTGAAAATGGGTTTGAAAATGGGTAGAAATATAAATACTTTGAAGCCTCGGAAACGCTAACGATCTAACGAATCTAATTTACCCTTTTAAAGTAATAGTAAGTGTTTTAATTACTATCTTAAAGAGAGAGGTATGAAGAAGACAATAATTAAAAATAATAAGAGCCTTGTCACTTGTCCAACTTCATGTTCATGGATTAAATACGCCATCTAAACTAGACTGTCAATTGAGAATGCTATATTTCCCCCCTGTTCGAAACTGTTGCCCGCTTTAGAGGGCCATCAATTTGTGGGCCAAAGTTGGGCGACAAGTTCTACGTGACTGCGGGAAAGTTAGCCCCAAGTTTCGAGGCCCACAAATTGCCAGCGCGAGACATTGACCAATGGAGCGGGTCTGTGACTGCGCGTCGCAAATTAAAAATTCAAATTCGATTTAGGGCAGGTGGGCTAAGCCTGGCCAGCTTACCTGAGTTGGTTCAGTTCGCTGCGCATGTCGGCGTCCTCGCTGTTCGCATTGGTGGTGAGCCGCAGGGATTTGCGCAGATTGTGCTCCAACATCTCGTAATCCTCGCGGCGCCGCAGCATCAGGGCGTTGAGCTGCTTGGTCAGCAGGCGCACCTGATCGGCCATTTTTTTGCTCTCCATGGTCCTGCCGTCCTGCCGTTCAATGGAGCTGATGTCCTCGCTATCCTCGTCATCGTCGACGAAGCGGAGCAGCTCCACGCTGGATTCCGGCGCTTCCGTTTCCTGTTTTGAGTGCAGAACGCTCTTCTCCGGGGTCACCACCTTGGCGTCGCGCAACATGTTGTTCACATCGCTGAGGACTACCCCACCACTGGCCGCTCCACTCACGGATGCCACGGATATCTGGAGCACCACCACGGCCAAGAGTATTGGCCACAAAACGTTTGAGCCTGCCATTGTTGCAGGGCAATTTAAATGGTCACGCGAAACTTGGTTTTTTTTTGGGTCCGGGAATGTTTGGCAATCTTTCATTCACACCGCACACAAAAAAGGACTCGAGTTAGATGGGCAATTTATGCAAATAACTGGCACGCATGCCGGCACACAAGCGCTTCTCCTCGACTTTCCGGCGCCGTGACAGTCAAACACCTTATAAAAAGGCGCTGGCAAACAATGCTACAATTATTCCTGGCGTCGCCTCGGGCTTAATCCTTGTTGCTTGGCTTAGCTGTGCTTTTCACTTTTGGTCCACGGAAAGTTCGCTCGCAACACTGGGTGAAGTATATCACTAAGTTCACAGAGGACCTTCCAAGGGAAGGATGTTTTCAGCGCGGCGTTCTTCGAAGGACTGAAGCGGCGCGTCTTCGGCACTTCCTTTTATTCGCTACCATGCCCGAATGCTCGGCTTGGTTCGGCAGGCTTCGGCAAACGCGAGAGAGCAGCCGAGCGCGAAGTTGCGGTAAAGGAAGCGGGGGAGTTGCCGTGCAAGAGTGCCATGGAGAGCAATCACCTGCCCGAAGCATGCAACAAGCAAGTAAGAGAGCCACAAAGAGAACTCATCAAGTTAAGAGAAAATCAATGAATGGATTAGGACTAGATGTTGATGTTGATGTTAGACTCCTGAAAATGTCCTTTGAAATGATTGCTATCACCAAAGATCATGTCTTAATGGAGCAGTTCCCATTCGGAGTTCCAGATAGGGAACGAGAGCAACCCAAAATGGCGGTCTAGTTACACGGTCCTTCTTTTTTTTGCACCATCCTGCTCCTGACACATGGCGCGGTTGCGGTGAGACTACAACGAAAACAAACTGCAACGAAAACGGCAGATGTTTCGGCCCCATAGGCAGCCAGACAGACGGCGAAGTGCGAAAACAAGCTGATGTGCTAGATATACTGCAAGGCGAACGAAAACCAGACGGAGCTATATGTCCCGGGTGCGGGTAGTTGCAAGGAACAATGAGAGCCCATAGGCGCACAAAGGAAACTGCGGCAGGGAGACTCCCTATTGTCTTAGGCTCTTTCGTAGGTACCTGGAGGAACAAGATTGCTGGTTTCATACATTAAGGATGTTCGGGACACAATGCCCTGATAGGAAATCAGATACTAATAGCTTAACTATTGGCAACATTCGAGGCTGAAATCCAGATCGAAATCCGCCGTTTTTCGGGACATTTGTTTTTAGGGCACGGTTGGTGGGAGAAAATCGCTTTATACCTATCTCTACGTAAAACTACCACGGCCACCCACTCGATTCGCTGATAAAAGCCGGAAAAGGTTTTAAAGTGCAAAGCTGGAATGCGACTGCAAAAGTCAGAGGCAAAAAACGAGCAGCGAGGCAATCGAATGAGTCGTATGCCCACTAACTGCCTTGTTGCAACATGGCTCCAAAAGGGGGTCCATTGCAAGTGGGGAAAATGTGTGCAAAAAATATGCCAAAAATGCCGCCTTACGCACCGAAAAAAGCGCTGTAAGCTATGCATTTCCCTATTTTTGTTCCATCCATAAATATACTTGGGGTGAGGCAGGTTCCGGGGTCAGCTGAATGGAATGTGCGCTTGACTGCGCAAAGGGCGGGAAATTGGTGGAAAAGGGAGAAGGGAGAAGGGAGGGGGCGGGTGTAACGACTGGAAGGGGGTGCAACAGTCTGCCATTGTTGGCACTTGCCAAAGCTGTGTTGCAATTTGCCATATTTTCATACCCTTGCAAAGGGCTTTATAATCACAAAGGGAGCTCTTGGAGTACTAACCATTAAATGTGTATTGTAATCAGAGTTATAACGAATAGTTTTGGGATATATCACTAGAAAACTGCTAGTGTAAATGGAGGATTGAAATGATAACAGCATTCAGCTTTATGCGAAATAGAGAAATTATTTCAATAGACTTACTTAATCATTCATTTCAATGAATCTTAAGTGATTCTAAGTAAGATGCTAACTATATAAATATAATGTTATAGCTGCTTACATCAGTTCTTAAATATTTGAATAGCAATTATCAACCTAGAATGAAGACCATGTTATTAATGAGGGGAATTACTGCCATCCAAGGGTATTCCCATCTTCGGGTCCCTGAATCGCGCACTTCCTATTATTTCGATGTCGTTCTCGGTTTTACTTTTTAATGTACTGCTAGCAGCGAACGTTGGTCAGAAGGCAGAGAACAAGCCAGCCCCTTTGTGGTGGCCATCATCAATGGATGTGGCTGCATAATCAAGCGGTGGCCACATGCACATCCATGCCACATCCATGCCACATCCATGGGACATACAACTTGCCCTTGCCGTCCGGCCGAAACTGTTTGCATATTTTGAGTGGACGCAGTTTAGTTTTTAATTTGATGCCTTTGTTTGTTGTCATTCTGTTCTAGCTTGTTGCACACGGCAAGTGCAGTGGGATGGGGCATTGCACCTGGGAGTGGTGGCTGCCGCCATTTGCATGGCATTCCCCCAACCGACCCCTCGACCCCCGATCCCGTTGCCCCCGGTGCCCGGGCCACCACCCCACTGAGCATTTGTTTCATTGTCGCCCGTTATATTGTTGGCTTTTATGCAGGGAAATGTGGCTGGAAATGGCAGCGAATGGCTCACGTTATGGTCAGCATATTAAGGTAATGGCCTGGAAAGTCTGTCGGTGCTCTCCAGTTCACTCCCTGAATTGGTATTAAATGTGAGCGTGGCACGACTCGAATGGAGTTCAAATTTCATTTGCACTCATATTCGATGGGGATTTCAACGGGTGCTTCCCATTGAAGACTCTTTTGAGGTCTCGTGCAGGTGCTAAAAGCAGGTACTCTGTGCGATTTGATGGCAATAGCACTGTTCTTCCCAATCGCACTTACAGTAAAAACAAATCACTTTATGTAATAACCATCTCGTCTGTAACACCTCGCTGCAGATTTAAATATAGGGGTAGCGCTATAGCTTAAGAATTTCTCATAGGAAAAGAGCTAACTTTGTCATATACACTTGAGTCCTTATACACTAAACTTAAATATATTTGATATTTTAGCTACAACACATTTTACTTGGATAATCTCCAAACAGATCAGATTCGAAAAATGCAGCTCACTGGGAACATATTTATTTTAATGAGTATCTGAAATTGGATGCAACAATCAATGCCGGAATGCGGGAGCAGGTGTCTCTTATCTGTCCATTGACCAGTTCGTGGCCTTTCTGGCCAGGCAGATGATGAGGGCTCATCAAGTTGGCTTAAGGCATTGTTGATTCTGCCCAGTGTGCATACGAGATGAGTGCTTGAGCCGAGGACAGGTTCCGCTTATGAGGCATGCAACCAAGGAGCACGCAACCACGCACGCGATACATTTCCAGCACAGGCGACAGTTTTGTGCCTTCGAAAGTATCTGGCCAAAAAACAACGATCGTCGACAAGAACGCTGCGCAGGCGCAGTTCCAGGCTATGCACTAATCATCTGAATGACAACGACTGCAACAGCTGAGGCAAGTTGGCCGGCCAGTCAGGAAGCACAGAGAGAAGACTTCCAAACCGGCTGCGCCGCTAACGGCAGGTGCAAAAAATTTACCACTCGAACGAAAATTTCCTACCTGATTTAATCTGCTGCTGCTGCTGTTGCTGCTGCTGCTGCTGCTGTTCCTTTTTTCCCTTTTTACTGTTGCAGCGGCTGGTGCTGCCAAGGCTTCGCTACGTGTTGTTTCATCAACTTTGGGACTTGTAGCCATTGGCATGGTGTGGCATGTTGCCTGCATGCTCCGCTGGGCACACACACACCCTGGCCGCAGCACACAGATACACATCAACACATGGACTCACCAACACAGCGGCAGGCACACACTCACAGATACTTCTGCTATCACTCAAGGCTGTTGCTGCACGGCTGCCTCCGTTTTAGCCATCCACTTCGGTGACTTGTTCTTGGCAACACCAACGCACCACCGCACCAGCGCATCAGCGCTGTTTGTGGTCTCCTCGTCATTGCATTCGCACGCTGTTCGCGGAGAGAGTGAATAGAAAGGAGGGAGAAAAGGGAGAAAGGAGGAAGCGAGGAGGCAGGGAAAAGCGCACATTGACAGACCATAAAAACAATCGCTAGAAGCCATCAACCGAATGAGGGCTAATGCTGCCATTGACCAACATAAGGCAATCAAAAAGCAGTTCAACTGAGCTGCTATGTGAATGGACTTTGGAATACCCTAAATTGGACTCATAAAGTCTCATGTATTAGTTACTGAATAGTTCTTTATACATATAAAGCAAAAGTTTCCTTGCAATATTTTGTTCTTTGTAAAATGTAAAAAAAAAAATGTTTTTTAAATATGGACTACTATGGAGGAATCATTCATTTGCTTATAAACCAAAAATAGTTTAAAACAACCCTTCCAAGCCATGAGTACTTCTTACAAAAACAAAAAATGCCAGCAAGACGAAGCGGAGAAGCATCGAACCGGCAGCGACAGCTGCAGACTGCGATGCAGATACAGATACATCTACCAGATACATCAACATCCCGCAAGCGGAGCTAAACGCAGCACAAGGACACATCGGAGTAGACGGAACCGAGGAGGGGAGAGGAGCAGAGGGGCAACTTCCTAGAGCCCTTTGTGACTTCACAGCTGTCGTTGCGGGCACTCCTGCCCCGCTCCAATCAACAGATTTCGGTTTTCGGTTTTCGGATTTCGGCTTTCAGCCACTTGGCCGAACCATATTAATGGGCAGGCCAAAGGACCTCGTTGCAACAGTTGCAGCTCCTCCAGTCCCAATTCCTATGCACCATATCCGATCGTCCTGCCTGCAGGAGGGCAAATAATGACGAAGGACAGGCGAACGCGTTTTTGGTGTGCATCGAAGGTGGCAGGACATGCAGCTGGCAGGCTCCTCGGGGCACTCATTGTCCTGCTCATCCTCGGTCCTACGCATTTGCCATGCACCCTAATAACGGATCCTGCAGCATGTCAGATTTGCAAGTGATGAACTGTGTTAACTGAAAGTCGACAGACGGCCCATTAGGAGCAGGCGGCCTGCCTTTTGTTGGCTATTTTAGGCAAGTATTCAAGGAAATTCAAGGAATTTTCAACACACCTAATTGTCGGATGGTGTGGGGTACATTTAATATGCAATTTAAAAACTCTGCCTTTCCCAAATTCAAGAAAACATCGAATGTACTAGGAAAAGCCAAGAATTTGTGGGGCAAATTGCTTTCGTAGAGTAATTTAAAAGTCAAAAGCATGTAAGATTTAACATATATTCATATTTCATAAATAGCATTTATTTTGAACAGTAAAACAGATCAGATGTGATTGTGATAAAATCCTGTTCATATTGTTGGTCATAATTGGAAAGATTTTGATATTGTTTCCGATACAATCATTTATAGGTCAGAGC